CCCATAAGAGCCCACGGTGACACCAGTGTAACAAACAGTTTGAACTCCCCAGTATCTTTTTTCAAAACTTTTTGTCTGATTTTAACCCATCAAAACCTTTTGGAAAAATGGGTCTGGGCTCTTATGGGTTAAAGCCAAAGACGTGTGCATTAAGTATACCAGTTCATAGGCAGTTAGGTCACCATGATAATTTCAAGACACATTGTGCAAACATATCAACACACGCTTTGACTTTTGACTTTAGAGGTTGATGAGGATTGCGGTCTTCTGTGAGATTCATTACAGTGAGCTTGTAGGGGCGGTTGTTTAGATATGAGATATTTTTCAAAGTTATACGGCTCTGGAAAAATGAAGAAACTGATGCAAGGACTAAGCAATTAACTAAAAGAAAAACAAATCAAGGATGGGCTTTGCTGTGCTTTGTTTTACGATGATATAGATCTTTACAGAAAAAGACATTAGCACTTCAATTTCTCTGCATCAAAATTAAGACTTGTTGGCATAAAGTGGCGATGTGTCTGTTAATTTTTCCCAGAGCTGAATGTGTTCGCGTGTACCTAAACGAGGCCGATGTTATGCAAACACTGCACGTTGCCGTGCAATCAGGCCGTGCGTGTATGATTTACACCAACGATGTTGCAATTATGTTTGATTTTGGCCTTGAATAGCATCATGTCCGTATCATGAGCGATATTCCTCTGTCTGACATATTTCCTAATCACAACATCTTACAGATTGCAATTATGTAAGAGGAAGCAACACTTCAGGCCCTCCTTTTCTAATGCGGCATTACTTGGGAACACACAGAGCAAGAATGGTGGGAGACTCGTCCTATTGGGGGAATGTTTGGGTGGAATAATTTCGAATGTCTAATAAAAGCCCCCTGCATGTGTTCATGAACATGCATCATTAAAACATTAAAAGGCAACATTTTGTCCTAGTTATCGTTTGGGGGTTTTTGCAGCTCCATGTTCGTTTCTGCTGTTGCTCGCAGCACGACAACTCAATTCATTCGGAGCTGTAACTGAAAATGCTGATTATGAATGAGTTACAAGAGGACCACTTGCATCAACACCCATGGCTCAGTGCTCGCTAGCTAATCGCATCGACTAAACAATCCCCTTTCCAGAGTGCTGTGTTTGTAAACTAATGGAGCGTTTCCCCCTCTGTCGTTTGCAGGTGTTTCTCCCGGTCGGATCATTTGGCGCTGCACATGAAGAGGCACATCTGAGGAGCGCACGGCATGTCAGAAGGGAGTGGAGCTGGTGAGGAAGCAGAGAGGACAACATCACTTGGGGAGAAATGTTCCGGATCAGAGGCAGACGCGCCACGCTTTGGCTTGAACGTGGGCAGGCAACACACGGGTCCCACATGATTCCATGAAGCGTCATCTTATCCTCCAATGGGACCATGAGCTGGCAGCTCTTGGGTTGAGTCCACTTTTGCCTCGCGTTTAAGCAGTATTGCCCCACACGCAGCCACTTTTGCGCTCATATTCGGTCCTCTTTGAGCAAAAACACCATCTTGCTAGGTTGCTGTAGCCTTTCTGTTCAGTCAAAGTTTTACTTTTGACCTCTCATACTTCCAAACTGGATCCATTTACGAATCCTTCTGCTTGGACGGCACTCGTTTGGATGGCAATTGCAGACTTGAAAATTTGGAGTGTTTTTTTTTTTTTGTTTGTTTGCCGGAGCTGATTGAGGTGATACAGACGACAGCAGGAGTTTCGAAATCTCATCCATCCGGACTTGCTATGGATGTGGTCAACAGCAGGCCGTCTCCTGCTTGAGCCTGATGTCCGCGTCGTCGGAGCTCACATTATTGCACAATTGACTCTTGGCAAGCCTTTTGTTGAAAAGAAAAGCCCTGGTTTGTCAGAATGGGAGGAACTTGGGCCCCATGCACAAGTCAAAGCAGCTTGCTGACTGTCATCGCACATCAGACAAGATCGCCACGTATGTAAAGGCTACATTGTTTTGAAGCAAAGACCTCCTCTTTGTTCGGAATTCCACCATTCTGAAGAACTTTTTGGGAATGGATGCAGCCAAATAAAAAGTGTCGATGCCTGAAGTGATCTCTCGGCCCTTTGAGAGTGATTGGCACCCGACACGCCACCACGTTGCTCGGCCATGCAGGACTGTTCCAATTTAGCCAAGTTGCGTTCAGAATGCAATTTTCTCCAGTAGATCAGGCCCTATGTATCTCCTGGGACATTCCGCAGATTTATCCCCTGTAGGTCACGGAATGAACTTGCAGAAGGACAAATCCAATCAACTGGCTGAGAGATCAATGTGAATGTATTTCTAATGTGTCTGTGCACGTTGCAGCTGAAAATGTGAATGGCGTAGCGGTCGCTCCTTGTTCGAACCGAATCTCTTTCCACATCGTTGTTAATCTAGGAAGTCACGCCGTGACGTGTCACACTTTGTTCCTGTTGACTGTCCGGAGGTTGGGAGCGCAGGTTTCCGTGGGGTCAAGTGGTTAGGGTGGGCCAGGTCTGCCCAGTCAGCAAAGATAACTGCCCTTTCAGGTCCGTGAACTTCCAACAGAATGAGACATGAACATTCAAAGATGTGTAGTTGCAGTTCTCTTCGGTGCTTTGACTCCTGAATCCCAGACGCCAGCTCTGCCTTTTATCCAGGCGGCACGGACATAATGGAGGCGATGCCACAATTCTTGTTGACTCAGCTGGGATCTTTAGCCCAATACTTAAGAAATGGAATTTATGGGGATTCAAATGAGGAACATGGACACCTGTCTTATTTCACGTTTAGGATAGTACGTAAAGCACCAGATCAGCTCCTTGCAAGCAGTCCGAGTGTTCCGTCCGGATTGGATGGCGACGAAATGAATACAAGTGGTTTGCACCGTCAACGGCAGCTCGATGTATGTCTTTCAATACTCCAGCTCTGTTGTTGGCATGAATGACTGCGTGGAAATGACATTTTGGTTGTTTTAAATGTTCTCATGGACAACCCTGGACTGGAGCACAGAAATATCCCAAATATTCTTTGGAAGCGACTCAACTATTTCTTCTCAAATGTGCGCGCTGGAAAACTTGGAGTTCAAATGTGAATGTTTACTTTTTTATACTTTTGTTTTATTTTTGGGTGGTTCACTTATGTGTCCTTTTTTATGAATGATTGTCAATTATGCTGTGCCTGTGTGCGTGTTTTTTTTTTGTCTGTATTTGCACTGTAAAACAAAAACAAAGTAAAAAAAAAAAAAAAAAAAAAAAGTAACAGCTGATGTTTCCTGTCCGCTTGTGCACATCACGCCACTATCACTGCATCTCTGTACGGTAATTGTTTTATACACAAACTTGTGCACATGCATTAGAGCACGCACTTGGCGCGTGCACACAGACACGCTCATGCGAGAGTGTGCCCCCCCGACCCCAACCACACACACACACACACACACACACACTCACACTCACACGCACGCGCTTGCTCGGTCTGAAGTGCAGGCTGCAGCTTTCAGCATCGCTGATCTCCTTCTGAATTTGAAATCAGACCCCTTTTTTTTCTACCAGCGTCCCCTTGTTGCCTTCCCCTCCCCTCCACAAGATAACAACCCTTTCAACTCCCGTCCCCCTACCCTCCCTGCCCCCCATCATCTCCCATCTTCCTCCATTTTCCTGTGTTGTTGTCTTTCTCCCTTTCTTTCGACTGTATAAAGTGTTTTAAAATTTATCATTTGTATATTATGATGTATGAGGATGATAATGTTCTTTATTAACGAAAAATGAGAAAGATTTATTTTTGTTACCGGTTTGTTTCATAATTCATTTTTTTAAATTGGTATTGTAATATCTCTATGCAAGGACTGTTTGTTTTTTTGTTTGTTAGTTTGTTCTTTTTTTTTTTTAATTTAAGAGTGTAATTAAGTGTAATAAATGGTAGATGCAGTTTGGCATGGAGTAGTCATGCTTCCTGTCTGGTCTGTTCATTGACAAAAATGCACACAGTGCCCACCACAGTGTCTTTAAAGACGTCTTATCAAGACTCAATCGCAGAATCAGCCGTTTTGTCAACAACGAGCACCGGGAGAGAGCATTTAGGCTCCATCACTGACATTTCTTTGCAGTTGCACCCAACGTGGAGCGTAATTGAATCCAATCAGTTCTTATTGCGCTCCTCGCTTCACGATTTCTTATTCCATCCTTCACAGGATGGCTAAAAACACCTGCTCACAGTGTGTAATCACATCTGTTAGCCAACAAGGTGCAAAGGCGTCTCTGCTTTGCCTGCTTTTTGACCATGACCAGCTGATAAAAGGCTAATCGAATAAGTAATAGCTAATTAGGGAGTAATTACTGCCTGCTAAATGGTCCTATGCGGTGTATTAATTCTCCTCGGGTCTGGCAAAGAGGAGCTCCCATCAGGGCTCCCCTCGCCCCCTCCCATCCCCCTTCCCTTTTTTTATTGTATTTAATACTCTCTCATTGAAACTTTTACTCTCATCAAGAAGCTTACTTGCGTCGGTTAAACATAATGTCCTTTTATTGGTAATTACAAAACGGCTAGCAACTGAACTGTACCGACATCAACTACCGCAAGAGAACTAATGGAGTCATTTTTCAATGAAGACTGCGCTTCCCTTAAACATGTTCACAGTGAAGCCGCCGCCACTAATACCCGCACTCCCACTGCTAGGAAGTTTCACAGCAGGACAACAGCACATTTTTTTAAATCCCGCTATTACACCCCAGATCCCCAGCAGAATATTCTGCAAATAATTGAAAAGCTGCCTTGATCAACACGCTGTTTGAGACATAATTTTCCCTCTCTGTGGTCCTCTCTCATCCGTTTTGTGATGTACAGCCTCTCCCGTTGAGGGTCACAGCAGGGGCTGAGGCATATCTGCTCAATTAGGACAGACTCCACTGGTTGCCTGTCAATCAAAGACAAAAAGCAAACAGGAATTTTGTTCCAGTGAGTTGAGGAGGTTCTGTCGATGGGCAAGGGTCACAAGTCAGTCCAGTTCCATTGTTCAGTTGTGGCAAGCCATCACAAAACTGTCGTGGCCACTTTAATTTGTCTTTTATTTTCTTAACATGTCTTTTGTTTCAATTGAGAGAACAGTTTGCACACAAATGAAGATTCTCCTCACCTAAATCTAAGCACCACTTAAAGGTAATGTTTTACTGTAAACCTACTCATAAACCTGGTTGAACAGCGACTATGTAAACAACCAAACCACGAACGAAAGTCCTGCACACCTTCAGTCGCACATTACGTCCTAAATAGAAAGTATAACCAAGAAATGGACTAAAACTGCGGGCACCTCAGCAAAGTGCCACAGTACTTTGCACGAGCACCAAATTGTTACACTTACTTGTTGCACATGCCTGAGTTGTCTCATAAAGATTCATGCAGTATTTTTAGAGAAATCTCTGAGACACCATTTCATCAAGGAGAGGCTAATTTACATCAACGAGCAATTGTGAAGGTCCTTTGATTTTGTGCAACCAGCACAAGCAGCCGAGTGCTTTGATAGTTACAATTATAGGGAATGTGTCAGCATGGCCCTCTGTAATCAAAGGCTAATCACCCTGCTGGTTGCAGAGAAGCACCCGCGTCAAGCTTCCGTCTCTTAGCCACTTTGAGCGACATCTCAACTCCTGTGAGGTATGCTGCCATCCAAAATCTCTTTTATGTCATTAGTTAGTGTCCTCGAATGCAATTTGGATTATGCTAAGTTACTGGAGACTAGTGGCGTGTATAGGACTGTTTTTTTTTTTTTTTTTGTGGGAGAGGTGGGAGACAGTGCTGGGAACAATAAGCCAATTGTTATTTCGATCCAAACAAGTCACTCGTCTGGCTTGGAAACGCTTCCAGCCAGTTGTTTACCGAAGAAGACTAGGCTAGAAATGGAACTGACTTCAGCCTGAGTGCACACGAATAAGATCTTGGAGTGGAGAAGCGAACGTAGACTCGTGGTGGACCACCAAGTCTTCAGCACTCCACAGAGCCATCATGCATTATGGAGTTATTTCGCTCTCTTGCTGTAAAAATAGACCAACAGACTTGAACCTTCTGAATTTTTTTTAATTTTTTTTTTTTTTTTTTATGCTACTTGCTTCCACTTGAACTTCAGTTGTGTGTGTTTTCCAAAGCACTCGGACACTTTAGCTTGCCATTTTTCCAGTTTGCGGACTACATTGAAACATACTACATTCCGTATATGTAGCTTGCGTGTTGATGATGAGCGTGGTCGCAAGACTCATGTTCCTTCGGAGACATTTTTGTGAGACCATTGTGGTTTCTTTTGCATTCTGAGCACGGAAAAGTCGTGCGCTGCAGCACCTAAAGGCTCCCCGATGGCCATTGATCCATCGCTACGCCCACAGAGGTCCCGGACTCCTCTTTGATTGCCATCCCCCTGCTAATTAAACAGCCGAGTTTAACGAGCTTACGTTGCTACCAGGTTGAATGGAAAGGTCACCACTAGCTCACTTGTTTGCAACTGAACACCGTCAATAATGAGCGTGGCAAGGGAAGACAGGTGTTCACGGAGGACATGAAAAAAAAAAAAAAACGAAGCAAGTGGAACGCACCACCCACACAGGAAAGCCGGAGCTGAGATTTGACCCCTGAAATTCTGAAGTGCGAGGCAAACTTGCTGCCAGCATGAAATATTATTTGGGTAATTTTTGTTGCTGTTAATTTAGGACAGCTGTGGCGTTTTAATAAAATTGCCACAAGCGCAGTAACTAAATACATTTGGTTCTGATTCAGAAGTGCTTTTGCTTGGTATGAATGTCCACCAATCAAATGCCATCAACCACCCCCATCCGTGACCTACATACGCTATCTGTCCCGTTCATCACTTATCTTATGGCGGCAGAATCAGGATTGATTGGTTCAATTAAACTGGCCTTTAATGTAAGCCGTTTAATCCATTTCTATCGTCCAAACCAAATACCTTCCCCTCTCAGAGTGAGATTATGGGCCTCTCCTTCAAATTGGCACCTCAAATAAAGGGTTAATGGGTCAAGGGAGTGAGGCTGAATGTTTGGAGGCAGAGCCCAATAATGAACTCACGGGCAAAAATGTAGTTGGGCTGGAACACAATTTCCTGAAATGCATGCATTTCAACCAGTAGCTGCAGCGTGTGCTCACTTGCTTAAAATTACAAAGAGGATTTGATACTCAGAACCATGTATGTCTCCATACTCGTATTTAAGATGTTGAGGACAATCACTGTGCATGGATCTATTTTAAAACTCATTTATTCCCATTGATGTATTTTCATGTCTCTTCAGAATCCAGACACTCAATCCCAGGAATATATTTTGAACGTCTTTTATGTCGTTGGTTTTTTTTCCACATTTGAGGGTAAAAGGGGGGCCTGAAAATAGCTGGCATTGAATGAGATGTGTTTCAAAGGTGTAATGCACAGCCTTAATTATTAAAGCTTTTTCAATGTGTTAATAATACATAGAAAAAGCATGTTTTTCAGACAAACATATGCGTTGATTCACACCGCAAGTGTCTTCATATAAGTTTGACAAGCAAGTACAGTATTTTGAATTCCAAGGATGGATTTGATTGTCCCTTGCGCTCATCTGTTGGTCAGAGTCACGGGCCTAGCTTTTTTCCTTTGCTTGATGAAGTGCCTACAGATGTACACGGGGCTTTTCTTTGCCAGTTGACCTTGTGTTTCTAATAAATTGGGTTTGTGAGCACACACCCTCACACGTTTACATACACACCAGATGTTGAGTCTTGCTGACAGGTATGACTAAATCCAATTGATTGGTCAACACATGCCATGGTTGCCCATGCAGGACTTGGGTCGCTGATACCCTGGAAAAGCCCCTTCCCTCTATTTACTGAATCCTCAGTCGCTAAAACATATTTTACAATAGCAACAACAATACGGCCTTCAATTTGCACACGTGGTATATACGTATTTTCTAATGTATGTTGAAGAGAAGCATTGCACTCATCGAAATACACTTTTATTCAAATCATTTCATTTATTCTAATTCGGTCATGTCAATTATAGCCTCGGAGTAAATGAGGACGACAACCTTTCCCAGAGGAAGACAAAAATCTTCGTCCTTTCGCACAGAATGATGCATGTTCTAATACTGCTCCCTGCTGCTCTTAGAATGCAAGTGCAGTGTCAAAAAATATATATTTATATACGGTACAGTACATACACACACACACACACACACGAATATTTGAAGAATTGGCAGACGCGGAAGTGTAGCCACTTTCTACAAATCAGTGTGGTGCTTAGAACAGATCCGCCGGGTACCAATGGCTTTTAGATTTTTTGAGGAGAGTGCCCATGTTGCCGCTTACCTGCAATACAGAGTGACCCCCCATGAGTTGATCAACAAGATCATAGACTTTATGGGACCAAAGGTATGTTTTCATTATGTGATCAAACTGCAACCCTATAGATTGTTTTATGTAACCCATTCAAACCATTGTTTTTTTGTTTATGTAACTTAAAAATGTTTTGTTTTGCTTTTTTAAGGAGTAAGTGAAATTCATTGTTCATGGTTAACTTGACTGTTGTAAATTCCCCTCTAGTTGCAAAACAAGTTCAACCTTGCAGTAGATGTCGGCTGTGGTAACGGAAAGGGGACAGTACTTTTGGCTCCGTACTTCAACCAGGTTGTTGGGACAGACGTTAGCCCCGCTCAACTGGGGCTTGCTCGGGCCAATAGTATTCGTCAGAATGTCTCATACAGGTGAGATGGGATAATGGAGTGGCTGGTTAGAATCCTTTCAAGAGAAATCTGTTGCTTATAATGCAATCTTTGCCAGGCTCCAAAATTGCAAAACCTTAAGGCGGAGCTCTTGCAATGGGTCTGGATGCACTTCATCAAGTATGCAGATGATCCATGCTTGTGCAAATGCAATGGACGAAACAGACACATTCTGGAAATAGGCAGCTCACAAAACTGTGCTGCCTTGTGTCTTTCACAAATGATGGCAGGGAGGACACTCCAGATAGCCATCTACTGTATATGCGGACAATTCAAAAGTCAATTTTCCATAACATGGCTATATTAAGAAAAAAAAAGACTTTTTAATTAACCGATTTTCGGAGTAAACAGCGAAATGAATGCAACAAATATTACAGAACTCCCATGCTCGGTGAGCTGACTTGGAAAAGCAGAGCATGACCAATGTGGTCCATGAATTTGCCCATGACTGTTCTAATATTTCTCCAACCTCTCCTTTTCCTCCACGCCGACATCCAGGCAGAGTCCAGCAGAGCAACTGCCATTTGAGTCCAGCCAGGTGGACCTTGTAACGGCCACGACGGCGGCCCACTGGTTTGACCGCCCACGGTTCCTGAAGGAGGCTGAGCGGGTTCTGAAGCCCAATGGCTGCCTGGCGCTGCTTGGCAACATGATGGACAGGGCGCTGGAGTATGGCGATGCCACTAGCGCAGTTAACAACATCTGTCAAGAGGTGATTTTCATACTTACTTTTACTCCTTGGTACATTAGTCACGGAACAAATATTTCATGTGGCCCATTGTTGTTTCATGTTTGCATTCTAATTTCTAAGTACCCCTTATAATTTTCACTTTCTCGGCTGGACTTCGGGGTGCTAAACAACAATGCAAAACAGCAGTGAGTGTAAAAGTGTAAATTGCATTGAGAAAGAATCCAATTAATCCATTTTAAATAATGGAGAACCTAGCACTGCGACTGGCCGGCGACCTCTCCTGGGTGTACTCTGTCTCCGACCCAAAGTCAACTGGGACAGGTTCCACTTTACCCGCAAATGTGATGATGACAAGAACTTCAGAAAATAGATGGATGAATGGAAGCCGGTTCGTCTCGTGAAAACATCATGCAGGAACGCCTGAGCCAAGAATCGAACCTATAGAACCTCTGAAGTGTGTGGCAAATGAGTGAAGCGTTACTCTGCCGTACTGCTGTTATTTCTTTTCATGTCAATTAGCCACAGCTGTTACATCACATTCTGGACATTTCGGAATGCCTCACTTGACAGGCTTGGCAGCTAGCCATTTACTGAGAGTGTTTAATTTCCAACTTGATGGGCGGCCAGTGACTCCGGAGATCCAACTATTTGTGTCCAAGAAATTAAAAAGTCAATTTTCAATAGAATAACCCCTTTGAAATGGATTTTGGTGCTTGTAAACATAAACTGGTTGTAAAAGTTGCCACAATACAAATTACAAAGGCAAAATCTGAAGTTGATGTGTGTCGCAGATGTTTTAACATTCTGTCAAAATAAGATTTGTACCATTGCTCATAGTAAGGTATAAGAATAATAAAACATTCAACTTGAACCTTAACCTCTGGAGCTCTATTTATGTGGATGGTGCCAATGCACCGCGGCGCAATGTCAGAATATCCTGATTTTTCTATCAGTGCGAGAGAGCCTATTGAACGACTAGAGGGCCGCATTTAAAGGGGTTGAAAGGAGCCACTTTGATGGGCCATGATTAAAGTCGTCTGTGACCACTCACAGTGGCGCAGCCCTCCCTCTTGAAGATTCACTGGGCTGCGCTCATCTACGAAATTACTCACATTGGGTCTAACCCGCCTCCGTGGAGTTACACCGTGCACCACGCAGGATTTATGTCGGTGATGATGCATAGCAGCTTTTACCAGCATGTTTTTTTATTGTTTATGATTAGTTTCATGCAGCTCTGCTCCCCTTCAATCACCCTTGTCTGGGCTCGTGTCCTTCAAAAATCTACTTTGACATGTTCGAGGCCTGTCCCTTTCCGGATAAACAGTGGTGAGTATCCCATCTTTCTGATTATCGCCAATGAAAACAGACAAATTAAAAAAAATGACATTTCCATAATATGGCCCATCAGAAATTTTCTTCCCTTATATATATATTTTTTTTTGTCTCCAGGCACAACTGTCAAAACATTTACAGAAAAGTGACGATAAACCAATTCATTGGTTTGGTAGAGACATTTACTAGTTACCAGAACCTGAGGAGTGAGGATGCCGCCAAGGCTAAACGTCTCTCTGATGACATCAGGAACAAGTGAGACATAAACATGCAATCTTCGACGTTAGTTAGCCAAACACTGAGCATTAAATTCTACACCGCACCTCAAATTATTGTGTCGTTGTTTGTACTCTCAATTGCTCATGAAAAGTTCCCCTCCCGTTGACTAAATACTCATTGTACCACTACAACAAGAATGAACTGAACCTGTCTTCCATTTCAGGCTGCTCGCTGCCATGCAGGTGTCCTCGCCAGACACGGAGCTCACCATGGTGATCAAATATTTCTACATGCTGGCACGAAAACCTTGATCTTTCGACTGTAAATCAAGGACTTTGAATAAAACTGAAGCCGAACTTGAAGCTAAGCTGTTTTATTGGGCATTTTGTTTTACTTGTGCATATTTATTTGCTTGTATTTAATCCAAATTAATGAATGCTAAAATCATTTCAGTCTTTCTTTATCCGATGCTTAATTCCTTTGCATGTGATTAATAAGAAAAGCTTCGCTATGAGGATTTTTTTTTTCACAGATAAACAAATAACATTTTTAGTGTTTTGGCTGCTCTATTTTACTTGCTTTTATTGTGTGTATAATTACTTTGGAACCATCACTCACGGTACTGCTTTCTACATTTGATGAGCATGAGAATGCACCAGTTGACAGCCTGCAAAATAGCACACACTAGTTGTTTAGTTAAAGTCTTGAGTCAAACAAGGAGGACAGTTTGTTTGAGTACACATTTTTTTTTCCAGTTTCCATTGTCTAGAGTTGTATTCCATTGGTGCAGTGGTGAATTTCCTCTCAGGACAGAGCTGCACACACGCACACAGAGTCAATGGAATGGTAAGAAGACAAGAAAAAAAAGTGTAATTCTTAGACTGTGCTGAGCTGCTATGGTAGCACACCACTTAGAGTATGTAGCTGATACACGTCACCAGATTAAATTCCAAACGGTACTGTGGCGCGCTCAACTGTACCACCCGGTGGAGAAATAAAGGGTCCAGAAACTGTCCAGTAATTAAGGTTGTCCCTATAGAATGCCCTCTGTATGTTTACTTCTCCACACCACCAGGGCTGTCACGAGCAAGGTGACCAATATCGGCACACCAACGAATGGAGCAAGGACACTGGCCGGCGGGTCGTGGATGAGCCGGCCGGTCAGCTGGCAGTCATGGAAGTAATTACGGTGGATCCTCACAAAGAAGCGATCGACTGTGTGACCGGGCCAGAAGCAGTCCATCCTCAGTGCCACTTGGTAGGTGCAGTTAGTCAGCCCCTCGTAGATCCTGCATGGAACAGCAAAGGTAAATGCAAGCCAAACGTCAGTAGAGGCTAAAGCGGAGATGCCACAATGAGGCAGGCAACTCGGACAATTGTCGACAGGGCCCTGATTTGAAATGGGGCCCCAAGCAACGGCTGATGTTGATCCATATCAATGATGTTAATGCACTGCTTTACACCCTGCATTGAAAATGTATTGTGAATACCCCACCTAAGGCCTCTTACTAGCAGGTACTGGCTCATAATAGACCATATCAATGACAAAACTGGTGAAACGTTGTCATGACATGTTGGGATTTGTGGATCTGCTTAATTGAGCCCCCTCCTCGCAGGTTTGTTTCAAGCAGTCTTTACATTTGTTGTTGTTGTTTTTGAAGGATCCTTCATGGTACTTGCATGGGAACCCTGGCGGTCTAGAAATAAACCTGCAAAAGACAGCATGTACCATCAACTGCATTTCACTATATTTTGCAATGTAGTGCACTCTCTTGGTGCCTTCGAGTGACACCAAAGAAGCATCTGGTCTTAACACTGCTAATTATAGCCACTAAATATTTGAGGGCAGAAGAAACCAATATGCATCACAGTAGTCTCAGTGCCCCAGACAATTGATAAATGTGAAATCGTCTCAGTACGCTATCATCAATTATTAGATATTGTATACACTGTATAGTATATAAATTAAAAGAATAAATCTATATAGCAGGAAACAGAAAGTAGACACCCTTTATTTGCTTTCACTGGCCAGATAATACCCGCTGTACCAGGTAGAACAAATCCTTCAAAAGATTCTTCTTATTGGTCATGAACACGCTGTGGAGACAACAGAGTGTGTCTCATGAGTTGAACTCACTTTGTGGTGTCTGGCCAGCTGCACCACAGACGTTGGTCCACTGCCCCCATGTCCGACTTGAACTTAGCCAGGCAGAAGTCGTCGATGACTCTCTCATAGAGTGCTCTGTCGCAGCCAGACACACATGCTGCAGAATGGGAGGTAAAATGAGGATGAGTCCAACTTGCCATCATTGACTTGTGATTGTGAGCTAGTCTATAAAGATTCCAAGCTTTTGTGGTTTTCTGCTTCACTGAAAACCATCTCTTTTTCAAACATCATTTTCACCTTGGATAATGTCATTAACAGTAGGGCTCTGTAGCTCTCCGTGACCCCCGTTCGCAGGGCATGTTTTTTAGGTGAGTAAATATGTTGCTAAAGTCAGGAGCATGCAAACGGAACCTGTTTCTAAACTGGATTGTGTGATTCTGGTGTTTGCTAAGCCTCCAGGGAGAGTTTAAAAAGTCTGCAAAAGGTTATTAACGTGATGACACTTTCTGCTGCTACAAAAAAGCCCCCAGATCAACAACAACTGTAACTTTTCCATGACTGCTATTCCAAAAGTTAGGACTGAGATGAATATGCGAAGTCCACTTTTTGCTTTTCTGTGATCTTCCTGCTGACAGACTGAACGAGAATGTATGAATCCCCTCGGGTATTGAGGCGAATGAGTTAAGAGAATATTTAGAATATGCAGTACAGGAAGATGCTCGCTGATAACAGCTTTCATGGACAGACCCTCCCATGTCCTCCAGGCCAGACTGACAGGCCTGGGCAGCTCCTTCAGCCAGAGACTGTTACACCCGTGCTGCAAGAGGGAAAGGTACCGCCGCTCGTTTCTGCCGACTGCTGTCAGGCTGCTGAATAAACACACGTGAAAACCTGGACTCAAGGTTTTTAAAGGTTTTCCTTCTTTTTCTTCTACTGTATTTAGATATGTGGATGTCTGAATTCAATGTGACTGACTTGAAGCACCACAGATAACCGTTTCTCTCAAGTCCAAGTTCAAGCCGCAAGTGCTGCTTGTGCATCCATCTGAAATAAGAATTTTTTTCCTCCTGCCTTTTAATTTGAAATGCCGCACAAAATCTTCCCAACATAAAAACTGACAGACATTGACTACAAGGAAAACAGACAGAAGTTGTCAAATGTTACGGAAGCACATTTAAATGAATTAAAATAACAACCTTTTCTCAACAACCACTCACCGGTGACGAACAACATGACACAAGCTGCCTTCAGGAACAATGCGCTTGCCATGATCACGATAGTATAAGCAACTCCAGTGTGCGCTTCTCTTTACTAGCCTGGGATCAGCTGTGCATATTTCCTTCCCCTTCTCGTCCTTCCCTTCTAATATCTTGTAGATAAAAAAATAAGATTAACCGAAGATCAAGATGATGACACGGATAACGAGCAAACAATGGCTCATGGCTGTGGGCTCAACACAACAGAGACGCCAACCAAAAAAGTGCCTTGACCTTCCACAGTGGGAACCCACCCCCAATCATAGCAGCCCTGCCTGTCATCTGATTCCTTGTCCGGCTGCCTTCCCCTGGAGCCGCTCACAGGGGACACAACAACAAATCAGAAACCAAAATTAGCCGAGTGGCATGACAGTCACTGCCAACTAAGACGGGAAGTCAACGACATTCACTTGACTTTCCAATGTAGTGCAATCCAAACTGATCAGCAACTCCAATTCACCTTTTCATCTCCTGTCTGTGGTCTGGTAGGCCAGAGATGTCCAAACTACGGCCCGAGGGCCATTTGTACGCCACCATCCATTTTTCATCGACCTGCGACATGACAAAAAAAAAACAAAACAACAACTCACTAAAAATGACATTTGGCATGGGGCGCAAGAGTAGTTAAAAAAAGCGAAGGTGGGCAGAGTGAGAAGGGAGGGTGTCAGGGAAATCAGTGCCATTATTGTAACAAACTTGCATATATACTGTTGAACTTTTCTCTCAACTCAAAGACACAAATAAATCATTTATGATTAAAAGAATAATAATTTATCTTCAAAACATTGTCGTGAATAAATATAATTACATTTTAGAGGCAAAAATTGTTTCTTCCACTTTATGCTCTGCGGCTGATTTTTGAGGACATCACATTAATGATCCTCAACTGTTTGAAAAAAAAATGGTCATTTTACTACAGTTAGTTCTTGGGGTTCTGAATGTGGAGATGGGATTCGGCTCCTGTTTAGTGCAGAGCTGGCTCTACCCTGAGATAGACAGCTTTTGGCCACCCCAAAAACTGGGAAAAGTCCTCAACTATTTGCCTTAACCCCTCTAGCAGAAAGCTGATGAGATTAACTACACAATACAAACAATATATACAGTAATTGCTTTCTTGACTGACTTTTGTGAAAAGTTGAAGGATTTAAAAGTGGCCCTTTCAGCCTTCCATTTTTCTGTATGCAGCCCTCAAAGGAAAAAGTTTGGAAACCCCTGCTGTAGGACAAAGAAGTGATGCTGAAAGTCCAAGATAATGGTGACAGTGGCATTCTGCCAGGGCCAAACAAAATGTTTGTCAATCTGGAAAGGTGACTGTTATTGTTCCACTCCTGGCTGTAATGTTTAAGATGCCATCTGCGCCAGCTCAATCTGCTGGATATGTGATCATGGACCTTGGATATTGTTAGAAAAATAGATTTGCGCTTATAAAATGTATTAATATAATGTTAATTGTAACCGCACACAAGGGCGGCCCAGTGGTCCAGTGGTTAGTGCGTCGACCTCACAGTGCAGAGGTCATGGGTTCTCCCTGGGCCTGTGTGGGTTTTCTCCGGGTACTCCGGTTTCCTCCCACATTCCAAAAACATGCATGGCAGGCTGATTGAACACTCCAAATTGTCCCGAGGTGTGAGTGTGAGTGTGAATGGTTGTTTGTGTCTGTGTGCCCTGTGATTGGCTGGCAACCTGTTCAGGGTGTCCCCCGCCTACTGCCCGAAGACGGCTGGGATAGGCTCCAGCACCCCCCGTGACCCTTGTGAGGATGAAGCAGATCGGAAAATGGATGGATGGATGTAACCGCACACAATCTCTTTTTTTATGTGAGGACATCATGGTAGAGTTTGTTCTTCTCGTTCTCTCTCTGAATCGTATTGTCACATGGCTGTGAGACAGGACAAGACATCTATGTCTGTTATTGTGCACCCGTCTGACCTCATTTAAGCAGCAAAGGGCTGCTAAAGGGTAAGCATTTTCTCCTTGACAACCATGTGGCATCACTCTGCAAAATAAAAAACAAATGACACAACTTTCATGTAATGCTACTAACTAACTAACTAACTAACTAACTAACTAACTAACTAACTAACTAACTAACAGTAAATTGGATTTTTTTTTGAGAGCTGTTTGCTGGCTGTCGCACTTGACAAGATAAATATCCATCCATCCATCCATCCATTTTCTGAACCGCCTAATCCTCACTAGGGTCGCGTGGGGAGCTGGAGCCTATCCTAGCCGTCATCGGGCAGTAGGCGGGGGACACCCTGAACCGGTTGCCAGCCAATCGCAGACAAGATAAATACAATACTTAATTTGGTTGCTTGTACTTACTCAAGTTGTGAACTTGTAACCCTTTCGTCACCAAGAAACTGAGCTAATGTGAATCCGCAAGAATAGTGTTAAATTACATCTAACGCTTTAAGCATTTGGTTTCCAAAAGTGTAACTTGTACCACAGTGTAAATGGTATAGGGATGGACGAACCGTAGCACAGTAAAAGGTACGGCGGGAAAATAATCAGAATTCTCATAATTTGTCTGAAATTGATTACGGTACTACAATATACAGTACACTGAAAATATTTGTTTGAATTTAATCAGTTTTATTTCGTTTAGTGGTTGCACATAATAAAATCATATGTTTCAGGTGACCTTTTTCAAGTAGTCTATACATCTTAAAAAATATGGCTGGTTCCGGGTGATTTTATTTTGCTCAGCTACTTGAACAGCCATGTGTAGTGGCAAGCAGAATAATGAAATACACTTCCAGTTGCCAATAAATGACAGAAGATGAAATAAACCTGTATATCCACCTGTCATTCATATAACTGTGAATATTTCAGTTTAATGTTACATTCCACACCAAGTAAATCAATTTATCAGTATTCATTATTTCTCTTTTCAAACTTTTGTGACATTTTTGTTTGGAGGTGTTCCATGAGATTTTTCTGATTTAGAATGGATACCTTCGCTGCTCAACGAAGGTGCCGAAACTGCTCCAGATGACAGCAGAGTACAGTGGATGTTTTCAATTGATATTCATTCCAGCAAACTCTTGTGTTCATGATGAATATTAAGGCTAACGTTACGCATTTCTCCCAGCATCCGCTAGATGGGAGCAGATGAAAGGACATGATTTACACCTTCGCTGACGCCATCATGCATCAACATCTCAACCTTGCTGTATTTTCATTGTACACACAACGATTCTGTCGTGTTCCACTGATCACACATGGACATTATAGTACTGCCTGATGCGTAAATGCATTACACTGACTTTATTAAATACTCTTAAAACTAAAAATGAATGGGGAAAATACTTCCATGTTTTCTTGCGGGCGAGTGGTTAGCACGTCCACCTCACAGTGCAGAAGAAGTGCAGGGTTCGGTTCCGGCTCCGGCCCCGATGGCGGAGATTGTATGTTCTCCCCATTTCTGCGTAGGTTTTCTCTGGCTACTCCGGTTTCCTCCCACATTTCAAAAACATGCATAGCAGGTTAATTGAGCACTTGAAGTTGTCCCTGGGTGTGAGTAGTGAGCCCGGATGGTTGTTCGTCTGTGTGCCCTGCGATTGGTTGGCAACCAGTTCAGGGTGTCCCCGCCTACTGCCCGAAGACAGCAGGGAAAAGCTCCAGCACCCCCCGCGACCCTAGTGAGGATGAAGCGGATCGGAAAATGGATGGATGGATGGTTTCTTGTTCATCTTTTTTCTTTCTTTTTGCTTCTTTTGCAGGTCGACAAAAATGTGTCATCTTAAATGAAGTTAATATTGTATCATACGTACTGAGCAGTTGTATTGAATGGCACATTATGGTATAAATTATTACAAATAATAATTTATAACTTTTGTGTATTTTTTTTTATATGATGTATTTGTACATATTTCGTGAATATTTATTGTATACGTTTTTTCTATATGAATGACCGATTAGTGGAATCATTTGATATGAGAAATATGGAGAGAAGCAGGGATTGGACAAGTTTTGTACTTCTTCTTACTCCCTTTGCACATATAAAACCGCATTGAACTATGGCATCTATTGATGATTTTTTTTCTTCGAACTTTTATTTTTATCTTGTAATGTGTTTGTAAGTCATTAATCAAAACTAAATAAATAATAAGGACCCATTTTACATTAAACTCATGAAGCACCACCAAACAAAATGTCACAAATCTCATGGGGGGAACCCCATTAAATTGTTCTGTCACCAGATTGTGTGCTGCTACCATACAGTAGATGAAAGTAATTAATAAACAATTCTTTTCAGGTAAATTAAGGGACATTGGCAAATATCCTGGTCGAATCAATTCAGTATAATACAGTACAGTATCATATAGCATAGCATAATATAGTGCAGTATAGCGTTATGCAGTACTGTATAAACCCAGACAAGTAGACTCCACTTATATATAAATATATAATATATAAATAATAATAAAGGTACTGTGTTGCCTTCACAGTTGAAGTCCTAAGTTTAACATAGAACATTTACATTTAATGGACTAACAACCAATTCATAGAGACTGAGGATAATTAATTTAGACAATCAGTCACCACCAATTTATTTTTAGTTTTATCTTTTTATTAAGTTAGTAAGTTTAGCTCACAAAATGTACATATGCAAAAACAAATAAACAACAAACCATTTAAGTGAGGGTTTCTTTTTGTAGGCAAAGTATAGCCTTGGGACCACATGGCCGTTTTTTAGTCCAGCACACTGAGCATCAAGAGCCAATTTTCTTCCCCTGAAAATCGTTAGTTAAAATGTATGTATTTTGCATTTATTTATCTCATTCAATATCCACTCAACTGATATATTGTACTGTATACAATCAAAAGCATTAAACATTTGGTTAAGTCTTTATATCTACCTTCATTGTGAATAATGAAATACAAAACAATTAGAATGGATGACATCTTTATTTAACACGATACCGATTCATGGTTTACTTATGTAGCGGCACAGATTTTACAAGTTGTTGTTGTGTTTTTTTAACTTAATGCATGAACTGGCACGAATTTTATACACTTAAAAATCAAATGTGGCCCCTTGAACACAAAAGTTCGCCCACCCCTGTGCTGCCCTCGAGTCATTCAAGCACTGGAACTTTGCCCTACGTGAAAACATGCATATGTGCTCAGGTGGCCTTTAAACCGCAAGTGACGAGGTCAGGTGTGATCACCTACCACGGAAACTGATCGTTGACGTAGGCAGACCTTCAAGCGAAGCCAAGGGTTCCTAAAAATGTCTATTAGCCGCTGTAATAGGCTGCGTGAAGTGTCAATCACATTGTGGAGGCGTGTTCACACCCAGCGCTCGCAATCTCAAGCGCACGCCCGGACTCGCGCGCGCGCCCGGCCACAAACACCGAGTCAGCGTGCGGGAAACTGTCTCACAGTCTTCACAGTGGAAAGCGATCCGGAGCAGCAGCCTGGGAACTAGTAAACAAACACAGCCAAGTTGCGCGTAAAGGCTGTGCGCTGCGCCGGGGCTGCGCGACCAAGCGATTAGCGATAAAACGAGCCTCGCTCTATTTTCCTCGATTATTGTACACTTGAGACAGGACCGGGATATCCTAATTGGACATGTGAGTTGCAGGAGTTTAACAAGACTATTAGCCCACGCTCCAAGATGAAGTTCCTCGCCTGCGCCCTCGCCACTTTGCTGCTCATCCCATCCGGTGCAGCGCAGTCAGGTGAGTGTTTTCTGCTTGGGCTGGCGCCCAAACACCTTCGTTGAGTGGAATCACCCGCTCAGCCTACTGATTGGCTCATTGTCGATTCATTAGCGTGGAAAAGAAACTTGCTCAACTTCAACGCTGACGCAGCGCAGCTCAACCCGCTGCCTCTGTTCTGTGTCAAATGCTTCTCAAACTGCACTTGTTCGTCGAAATTCACTTACCGAACTGTTGATCCGATAATCTCTTTTGGATGCTTCGACTATTTACAAGTACTTTTCGCTAGTTTATGATTGGAATTCTTCCCTGAATATTTGAAATATTGAACCATCTTGTTATCACCATGCAGTAATTCGTGAATGGGGCAGTTTGTGGTCTATCCACTCGTCATTAAAAACATTTTCTTCTGTTCGTTGGTCCCCAAGCTTTCTCAGAGACTTCAATCACTTCTCATTCTGCTTTTGCTCTGTTCAGGAACATTTGGGTCGAATGGGCCACACGATTTTCTCTCCAAAGTGCTACATTCTAGCTTTGGAAATGCACAACAAACTATAGAAAACAAAATGTCAAGCAGAACAAGTGAAATACGTTTGATGACACTGAGTCGCTGTGCAGGAGGGCTGTTCAGGTGCGCGCGGGCGCACGCGCGCACACACACACACACACACACACACACACACACACACACACACACGCACACTGGAAGCAACTGAATGCAGCCTATTCGACACATGCATTAATGGATGGGTGCGAGCGCGTGTACGTGGAGAAAAACTGACAACCGCACTGTTTTGCTACGCGTGCACACCCAGCCAGGATATTTGTAACACAGATTCCACCCAGCAGCCCTATGGTAACTTTGTGGGTGTTAATGAGGACTGCTCAATTCATGACAATGATTATCATGTTGAACTAAATGAGAAGATTTCAAATGGTGTTTGTTGCAAAGAATCTCATCTGTGTGTTCACTCGTGTGCTTGTGAGTGTAACGTGTAGAAATTCCCAGTTGTTCTGTGGGACTGATGTAATATATTATGAAATTAAACAAATATGCCATGAATTTCATATGTTAAATTTTAAACATTGAAAGCGTGAAAGGTCACATGCACACAATATTTTGCCGGCAAAGGCCGATATATACTATTTGTTTTTATTATTTAGTATTAAATAATTGTATTCACTGGTGGAGGTTTGCAACAATAAGGTATTCTTGATAAGATGCGTTCTAATCCTTCTCAACTCTTCACCATCGGCAAGGCTCCATTAACAAATTTAAGGGTTTTGTTATTTGTCATTTTCATGAATCACCTGGACATTTAGTTGGAGCATTTAATTACTGTGCATGTGCGCATGTTGGTGTGAGTGTGTGAGGGAGAGAAAGGAACAAATGCAGCTTTGGCATGTGCGTGTTTGGGTGACATTTGAAGACAGACGCCTGTGCAGTGGTGTGGGATGGGGGATGGCGCGGCGTTGGGGGCGCACTTGCTGAATGCCAGTTTCAAATTACCGTCAGCTTGTCAGCTGGCCCACACGGGGCTGACCAAGACTTTGGAGATGACTGGCAGAAACAAGAATTTATTACAAGCTAATTAAGCTTTTTTTTTTTCTTGATAACATCAGTCTAGACTGTCGAGACCTTTATGTGACAGCATGACGGATGAGGGGGACGTAGGGGCAATTCTATCATGCTCCAAATTAGTCAGCATTGCGATCAAAACTGGATATCTGAGCTCTGTGACCCACGTGAAACTTCTTGCTCATATGATATGCCGCCGTGATTGTGAAGGATTTGCCTCTCATGGGGGCGGATAGAAAAGGCGCAAAACAATACTTCTTCTAGTTGATTGGGCTTCATATTTAGGAGAGGGCTTTGCTGCCTCTGTCCAAGTTAAAGGACTTGATAATGAGGCGTCAGGCGATCCATATGATCAATTTCTGAATCGCAAGAATTAAAGGCTCTTTCTTTAGATGGTGGTAGGTCCAATTAACTTGTGTTGCTCTTCTTATAATAGAAAAAAAACCAAACGCTTTTTGTTGAAATAAACTGACCTAGATTTCACATTGAGTAAATAAAGTTGTGAGGCAAGATCCTCTTTATTTCAGTTCACTGATACTTTTTATTTGCATTCTTCGTTGTGGTGTGCATTTTTGTTTCAGTTAAAATATTTGCCTTGGCTCAAAAGCGGTTGCAAAACCCTGGACTTTGGAACCTAACCCAGACATGCAGAATCACAATATGCAGCTGCAACAGCTTCAGCCGGTGATGCCCATTGATGGGTAGTGTGCCCACACTTACCTGGAGGGCAGCGGCCTGGCACGGGGCAAGGTCATAAAAGGTGAAAGGGGCAGCTTCAACTTTTGGACTCATTTAGAAACCACAAATCCACTTTTGTTTCTCACACAGACTCTCTCCGTTCGGTTTCTTCTCAACCACCGGAGGGTTTGTTGAGCCCACCACTTGCGATTTCGCTCAGAGACAAACAACTTCATACTGTGGCTGAGACAAACACATATGCACACGTCTCTCGCGTATTCCTTTCTTCCCCCTCTGTCTTCCTTACAGCATGTATTCGTTCTTTCTGTATTTTGTTAATCTCCTAATACATGTATTTAATTAGAGGCGGCCCGGTGGTCAAGTGGTTAGCGCGTCGACCTCACAGTGCAGAGGTACAGGGTTCAATTCAAGCTCCGGCCTTCCTGTGCGGACTTTGCATGTTCTCCCCGGGCCTGCGTGGGTTTTCTCCGGGTACTCTGGTTTCCTCCCACATTCCAAAAACATGCATGGTAGGCTGATTGAACACTCTAAATTGTCCCTAGGTGTGAGTGTGAGCGCGGATGGTTGTTTGTCTCTATGTGCCCTGCGATTGGCTGGCAACCAGTTCAGGGTGTCCCCGCCTACTGCCCGAAGACAGCTGGGATAGGCTCTAGCACCCCCCGCGACCCTAGTGAGGACAAAGCGGATCAGAAAATGGATGGATGGATGGATGGATATTTAATTAGATGCTGGGCCGACAGGCTATTACACATTCAACTGAAAATGTTGGTTTTGACTTAGCAAATTAATTGAAAGAAATAAAAATAAACTACAACTAGAAACCTCCTTTAGATTCCAGCAAATCTTAGCCACAGTGAGAGGACGAAACAGGCATTTATTTATTTATTTCTCTCCCGCCTCCCCAAAGTTTACATCATGTAGAAACCACAAGCAAAGGATGAGATTTCGGGCATTCCGAGCACATGCAGCCTTCTGTATACAAACGTTGGCTTTGAGTTCCCACTCACGCATGTACTCCGGCACAAGGCCAGCACAGGAAGTGGGATGCCGTTCAGCTTCTTTTGACTGACAGCGTCGCCTTGGCGAGGCAGCCCCGACTCTTTCAAAACAAGTCTGGGCTTTTTTTTTTTTTTGTTTGTTTCAGTTGCCTTCCTCCAGTGGTTGACGATCGCAATCACAAAAGCTTTTTTTTTTCCGTCATTACCTTGATAAAGCTGTTTTAATGCAAGGGAGAAATGATCGCTGGCCTCTCATCTCAATATTGTGTGCGTGCGTGAGTCGATGCTCTGTTACCAGCATGACTTGCACACACCAAGACCAACCTCGCCAGTATTTCTGTGTGTGCGTTAATCCCTGGTAAAATACTGAAAAGACCTACCATAATTGGTTTCATTACACTACAAATTAAGGATATTCACTGTTCCGAGGCGTTCATACGAGAGCCGCCTTAATCAAGCCCTAACTCTGCCTGGCACGGAGTCAGTGTGTTATTCTGTGGTCATAAGTGTGTGTGTGTGTGTGTGTGTGTGTGTGTGTGTGTGTGTGTGTGTGTGTGTGTGTGTGTGTGTGTGTGTGTGTGTGAGAGAGATTGATATTCTGTATGCTCGAGCATGTGCACATTTATTTCTATCAGACGATTTCTGACAGAGCTCGTCAGTGTCTGCCGTCCTCAGTTCCTTATTGAATATTTGCCACAGTGGAAGAGATGATTGTTTTGCTCAGCCGTCAGCCATGACAGAGAAAGACCGCTCCGCAAAAGCACTGAAATGTAATATCACAGAGCGTTCATAATATCATGGATCACCGGGAGGGCACAAAGACGCATCGATCTGCTTAACAAGACACTCGCATTTGGCTCCTTCTACAACCGCTGTAGTCAGTCGTCCCTGCAAAGCCGCAAACCCAATAACTGAGTTGTGATGCGCCGGGAAATATAAAACATATAAACTGAATGCGATTGTTTCCAAAAACCATTTCAAGTTGAATTCCATTAGCTGCAGTAAAAAGCCATTTCAAATTTAGATAAAGACTCTTGTGAGTAACAGTAATATTGGAACCCTCCACAGCTCTTTAAATGGCAGCTTGGATTGAGCTCCGGGAAGTTAATTTCAGAGTGAGGTTAGAAGTGCCCGAGAAGACGAGCTCTGGGAAAGCGTCGTACTTCTCACTTGTGACTTTTTATTTTCTTTTTCAATTGGCTTGTGTCAGCAGTTCTTAATTATAGTTTGTTTGTGTGAAATGAGAGTGATGGGTAAAATTGGCACAGTTCTGCACAAATATACTGTATGACAGCCAAGTGTGTATCTCTTCAGTGTGTGCGTGCCGTGTGTTTATAGTCGGTATAATTGTCGATGGATGAGTCCAGTCAGGGGACAATATTCTTGCGGACCTTCTCTTTAAGTCAGCCTGTAATAAATGAGGAGCCGCCAGAAAGTGGCAGTCATGTCAGCTGTCCGCTGACAATGTGGGTAGTGAGACGACGCTGACAGGTGGGAGGTGCACAAAATGAGTGAAAGAGATCGCCGATGAGCACGAGAATTATGGCACGCCAGTCCAGCATGATTGTGCATCTGGCAGAGAAGCCGCCATGTTTCTTATCCTCATCGCCTGCACCCCCACCTCAGTTCTTCACCTCTCTTTGTTTCACTGAAGTGACCTTGCAGTCCAGCAGAAATATGGCCACTCCTACGGCGGCTTTAAAGGTACATAAAACTTGTGCATGCGTGCGTGCTTGCGTGTGCGT